AATTAAATGTAATTAAATATGACTGCAAGTCTTAAGTTCTGAATGCATCATAAACTGCAAAAGCAAAGCTTACACAGTTCATAAATGTCAGCAGGCCTCTCTGAGATTGAATTACTGCACAAAGCTTACTTCCAGCTGTTTGTTATTTCTCATATATGATTTACAGTTTTAACAGGTTTAAATAACTTATACTTTTCTTACCATTATGTGACTCAGTTTGGTAGAGGTAGTGTAATGTATGTAAAAGAGTAACAAAAACAACAACACTGACATAGGAAGTAAGCGCAGCTGCTATTTTAGTATTACGAGCATTTTTGGCCATAGATTCCAAGGAAATATTATACCTTCTGTAAAGTCTGAGTGCTTGATTATTGTTGAGAAGCTAGTGTGTTTTTTCGGTAGTTTCATGGCATTTCCAGGTCGAATTCCAAGTGGTCAAGCTCACTCTTTGCCACATTGGAAATTTTGTCGATGGACTAAATTGTTTTCCCAACAATTAGTTTGTGTTCAAGATAAATTGAAAAATGCAATACAATTTATCTTAACCCATGATTTCAGTCGGGAGGATATCTCAAAGTTCTGCACGCAAGCTGGCTAAGCTCTCAAACTTTGGGGGAGGTGGGGGAAGATGGCTAAAATTGCAGTCGAAGAGGGGCTTCAAAAGTGGGGACAGAGGGGGCGAGGCACAGGGATTTCAGGATGGAGTTCCAGAGAGCCAGGGTAGAATGGCTGAAAGTTCGTCCACTGAAGGTGAAACAGAAAGCAAGCCAGTGTGTGTTGATTGGAGGAAACAACTGGGGCAGTAGGTTTGCAAGGGATTTGAATGCGAGGATGAGGATCTTAAATTTGAAATTTAAAAAAATCCAAATTCTTATTGATCAATTTTATTGCAATAGACAATAACGGCAACCAACACCCTATAGATTTTGAAAAATAACAGGCTCCATTCTAAACTTTTTCTATGAACTTTCTAAGTGGTTTAAGCAGACGCTTACATTGGAGAGAAATTGTTGCACCATGTCACCTGCTTAAAATATTTTAGGGTCAGTTCAAAGCAACATTTTATTATTAATTTTGCTTTCTATACATATACAGTTTCTATATACATTTTACACTCTGGCAAATGCTCGCTTAAAATAAATTGGTTTGTCTGAGAAACAGCTCACGTGTATAGTTTTAAAATGTAGCAAGAAATAATACCGGCAGATTCGGTAACCAATCACTACAGCTGCTCAGCTGAACTGAATCACAGTTTGATAACCACAGTCTGCTGCTCTCACCTTGAAAAAAAGGTCTCATCCCTTGAGATCATAGGCACTGACTGAATTAGGAACAGCTTAGAAAAACCTTTGATTCGTTCTTATTGAACTCCGTATGGCTGACTGACACTAGAGCTATCACAGTGACCGTGTGTCTGACCTCTACAAATGGAATAAAGTGACATACAGCGATGACCTATTCAAACACCCATCCTGTTTTTAAAACATTGTGATAAGTCAATTGAGTGCTCGATCTGTTGTTTCCACATTGTAACAATGCCAGACAAGAGAGAACTGCAATTTCAAACCAAACCCTGCTGAGCGTTCCCATATGGTTTTCTACTGGCAGACAGTGGTGCAATGTCAAGACTAAAGTCTTCTCAAAACACATGCATCCAAGGAATGCAAGAGGCAGTTTATAAGCACAAGCTCATTTAAGATAAATCAAGACGGTTGTTCCTGATCACAGGAAAGCAAAGGATTTCTGAAGGATTCCATAAGAAATGTAATTTTAGATTTGTTGACTGATTCCTTTACTGGATTACATATAGTTTTGTTGCATCATAAATCATAATCAGGTCCTCCTGCCTTACATTTTGACACTGAATCCAATTAGAATATTTTACGCTTTGCACTATTCATCTGTTTTGGTTTCCATTATGATCTACTTTTAAAAAAAGAAAGACTAGACAGCTGATGACAGGAGAAAATCAGTAAATACCTGGCTGAATTGAATTGCCTTGTCGCCTGTGATTCCAAGACCTTTACATACAAAGGACTTGCCGAACAACTGGAAGACAGAAGTGTTTTGTTCCACTTTATAAAATCCCCAGTCGCCATTAGGACCACAAAACAAACACAAACATTTGTTGTGATATGGACTATGGCATGAAAAGGGATCTGACTCCTAAGCATTGATGTAAGGTAATGGAGGACGGAGAAAGGATATTCAATATTGCAATATTTATTTAGCATTAAATGTATTTCTATGGATTCCAGTCTACTATAAATTTATAATGGCAACTTGGAGCAAAATACATATCTAATCTGGAAAATTCCTGGCAAATTCCAACTAATTTTCAGATAGATTCAAAAATGGGTCAAATAATATGAAATACGATTAAATTGAATTAAGTACAGATTTAAAAGTTGCATCCAGAAATACACTTGTCCTTTTTATAAGAATGATGCTTACAATCAATTTATAAAATAACATTTTAAACCCTTGGCTGCTGTTTTACTCAAACAAAATCAAGCATACAGTATTTGTTTCCTCCTCATATTCCGTGTTCTTGATTGCCTCATTGTAGTTATGTAACTTTATGGATTAATATATTGCCCTCAGGGTCTGTCAAACTCTGCACACAAAAAATGGAAATTGTTCTGAGCAGATTTAAAATGAAGTAAAAAAAATATAATTGAAACAAATATAGTGGATCAAGTGATATTTGGGGGAGTTACATTTTTGATTTTGGAAAGAAACACGGAAATGATGATTAATGGATTGATGGCATTCAGGGATACACCAATAGTTGGAAATTATGCCAACTCACCTGTTTGTATTTCTGTTGGGAAAAACAAATATTGAAAATATTAAGAAAAGGAAAAGGGTAATAAAATACAAAGCAAAGACTAGAGACACAACCTATCCTAACTTTTCCTTAGATTCTTTTAAAATTCCTTTTGTTGAAATCATCGTTTTATGATCACCTTCAAGAAGTCTTAGATCCAACTGAAATAGCCACAAATATAACTTTGTTCATTTCCTATCTATTTACAAATCTGAAAACAAAATGATGGGAAAGACTTAATGTGTGAAAGCCAAGAAAGCATGTGTTCGCTCATCAATAAGGTGTCAGCTTGGTTCAGTTGGAATCACTCTTGCCTCTGAATCAGAAAGTTGTATATTTAGGCTCCACATCAGGACTTTCAGCTTATTACAGCTTACACATCAGGACTGCAGTGTGGTACTCAAGGAGTGCTGTATTGCAGAAGGTGCCATCTTTTGGATGAGAGGTTAAATCTGACTCTTCAAGTGGACATTAAAGATTCCAAGACAATAGTTGAATAAAAGAAGAGAGGTACCCTGTCCAACAATCTTCTGGTAAATTTGTCATTCACCCCATTGCTATTTGCAGGACACTACCTTGCGTGATCACTATACGTGATCACTATACATGACTGTAATTACTTTTCAAGCACGTTGAAACATTTTAATGGTATAGACATATACTTTGTCACTGAGTAAATCATCAGTGTCCCGAAGCAACAGTTCTGGAGATTTGAGAGTGCAGATGCGCCTTATGGTACAAGATGGTCAATGAGTAAAGAAGTAATTGTGGACCGCTGGACAACCAGTTCAATTGCTTCACTTTGAAGCAAACCCCAAACATCTGGGCTATTAACTCTTTGTGACACTTTAGCCATTAATTTCTTGTAACATTTCAACCCCTTTCCCACCCCCAATTTATCTAGTTGCAATAAAAAAGCTACAGTATTATCTTATAATAAGACAGTTAATTGTTCACACGTATTTCATAAATTAATAATATTTTACAATAAATTATTTTTGCTAATATTTATAAACTGGAGGAAAACCTTGGAATATAACCAGTGGAATATACAATTGAGTGTGCGTTAATCAAAATATTCTAGCACATTCCTCCCAATACACTAGTGATCTAGTGGATAAAGGCATCACCCAATGTAATACAGTCATGCAGACCAGAAGGTCGTAAAGTTCAATTACCAGTCTGTACTAAGTTCGCTGACCTAAGCCAGAATGCAAGTTGGGTTGCTACTATTGGCCTCATTTCCCTGAGGAATAAATCTGCCACGGCTCCTGCTTCTGACTTCTCTGCAGTGGACCAGAAAGTGCTTATGCATGGATACTGGATAAGAACAAGATCTGGTTTTGCTACAATGTTTACCACAGTTTAGTAACTATGCAACACTCACTGTGTCGAGGTTCACACATGAAAAATGATCACTCAGGCAAAGCACCAGAGGGGTGTTAGTAACCATGTTCATCAGCAAGAGTGAATATTTTAAAGAGGGGGGGAAAATAGTTTCATTCATTAAGCCAGACTCCAAAACTCCATTCTGGCTGTAACCTCGTGGCGATCTGAATTTAAGCCATAGTTTTGATGTTTCACAGTTACATTTGAACCATTCTTTAAAGCCAAGAGAAAAGCTTCATAACACCCATCGTCACGTAACTCAGGCAACACTTTGAATGCTCAAATTTCATTTTGCAACTTGTAAAATAGGAAAGTAACATTCTCAACTCAATGTCATTTTACATTAACTATAGGAATACAAGTGGGCAGCCAGCGATTGAAAGAAAGCTTACTGAATGAAAGTGTCTGAAAAATAGAATTTGATTAATGGCATAGAAGCTACAAAATCATTAATAAGGGATTTCCTTTTTACATTCTTGAATGTAATATTGCACAATAGAAATGGGTAGTCAGTTTAAGAAAAAAACTGGAAAACCAACAACCATGGGATTGTCCTTAGATTTTTTTTGAAACTGGCGAGTTACTCTGTGACAAAAAAAACATGAACTATGACCTCAAAGGGTACCAGCAGCACATTCAGTAAAAGAGCAAGTGTCATTGCTGCATGATGTACTGACATGGAGAGGAGATTAACGAGATGGCCAGCAGTCGATTTATGTGCTGATTAGTTAGTTCCCCCCCAAAAAAATTTACATTTTGATGAAATTCTGATTGAACTTACTGCGATACATCTGTCACTATGGGCAGCGGTGATTCGTCACCCATCAAATCCATCTCATCAGCGAAGCTGTTGGTCCGTGAAATGTCATTTGGGTTCCCTTCAATGGCACGTTTCCTCACTTAAAAGAAATGAAAGACCCAGATCGAGCATCACGGAAAGGAAAGCATTTTGATTAAAACAGAAAAAAATATGTGCTAGGCCCATCACAAGCAAATCAGCAAAGAAGTACATTGCTACAAAATTGAGTGATGCACCACCAATGGGTAACTTTAACAATATGCATGTTACATGCAAGAATAACTTGCAGGCACTTCTTGTAATTGAAAGTCATTTTCAGCAAATTGAAACGCGATTGAAAATGTTCTTATGTAGTAGAAAATATACATTTGTAAATATTTGTAAGTTTTCTCTTTTTGTCAAAAGGCAGATATATTTCCATAGCTATGTTAGAACGAAATGTCTGTAACAGGTACTAAACTTCCGCTTCTCTTCATAAACATTCACTAATATAAGCTACCAAATAACAGTAAAAGAAAAAAGCATGAATTCTAAATTCCGCCTCATTACATTCATAATACATGAAGAATTAATTTGTCTATTGGACAACAAGTCCTTCTACCAAGCAATTACTAATGGTTATAGATTTGCCTTGTACCTGGTGATGAGGGACAGCTTGAAGTACAGATGGTTAAGGAAGACCAGGAAAGCTGTCGACCTGCATGCAAAAGCCAAAGCAAGGGCAGCAGAGTAGAAACCACAAGGGAGGTGTAAAACAAGATCATTAATCTCCAGTAAAGTGGGAAGACAAACATGCAGCTGTGAGGACTGTGAGCCAATTTCCCTAATGTAGAGCAGGTAAGAAATTACAGCTAATATGTGCCAAGATTTACAAGAATTTCACCGGTGGTGGAAAGTTACTGAAATTGCTAAAATTAGATGAAAGAAAAGCTCAAGTCAAGCTGAACTTGTCCAAAGAAGGCTCTGCAGTAACTCATTCATCATAAAAGCTAAAATTAATGTACAGTTTAATAAACAGCATTATGAATAAGTATTTTAAAGACCAAAGTAGAAATTCAGGCACCATTGTACAAAATAAAACATTTACTGGCATATATTAATAAAGAAGCAGACAATGACTGCTTATTATACATGCTTAAGTGAATCGCTTGGTTTGGGAGTTGCACAATGGAAACAAATGCTTAGACTGTCATTGACAAAGCTCATTCAGCATTCAAGTCAGACAGGAAGTGAGACAGATGAGTGTGTGATAACAGTGACATTCATTAACAAGTATTCCCCCCAAAATAATGCTGCATTTATCTCCAACCACTGATTTCAGAAATGAATTATTAATGGACCGCGAAGAAGCCAAACAGATTAGAGAACAATTATATACTGTAACAACAGCAGGCGCCAATGACAATATGCAAATGTATAATCAAAACAAAGAAAAAAGACTAAGTTCAACCATCTGTTTAATTTTCCACACTGCGTTGGAGAATTAAATGGAGAAGGAATAGCACTGATGAGAACTGATGGGAAAAATGATATATAGGGGAAACAGAGGAGACAAAAGCAAAATCAAATCCTCAACAATCACAGCTCAGGCCATAGTATCTGAAAAGTGAGTATTCAAAGGCAGACTTACCCGATTGTCTAAACATCCTTGCAAGACCTGACAAAGCAGAAGTTTGCACAATTGTGCAGAAGAAAGATAAGTATATCAGATATTTTCTTATATTCTTTACTGTCTAACTAGTTGAGCTTTAACTGCATTCTGCTGACAGAAGTCTAGTAAGAGGACAGCTTTCAGTTTCTCACACATTCAGTCACTAACCATTCGCCTACAAAGTACACAGTTGCTACACTCTACACTAAATCCTGTGAAGCGCTGTGACACGTTTTGACGAAGTGACGGGTATAATATCAAATTATTATTTATAATTAGGTATTATTAATTATCATTATTATAATTAATAGTCACTCAAAAACAGATCATACATCTGCCAGAAGTTTTCTAAGTCATACAATTTAACATTTTATTTTAACAAAACCACTGAGTTACTTGCTCATTGTTACTATATTATTCACTGTTAAATTTGCTTGTTTGATGTTTGATGACAGTGGTACAAATAATTAATATGAAGTTTGAGTCAAAATGCCACTAAATTGGTCAGCGACACAACTGATCGAGTAGACCAACACATCCGTGAACAATAACATCCTGCAGCAGGGGATTAAACAGAATTGCCATAAAACCCTTTTTTTGTGTTAAAAGCATCATCTGATTGTTTCAAAATGACTATATTAGATTTTTAAAAATGCACTATTGCTACACTTGTGATTTTAAGTCAGACAAAGGAGTTACAGACAGACAAAGCGGACAGAGATTTTTGCTTGAGCCTCTAATAGAACTTTTTTTTAATGAATAAATGCTCAACAAATCACCATCATTCTGTTTGGCATGCAACACGTTTTAAATACTGAGGTACATCTGCTTCCTCACCAAGCAATCACATCAGTGCAAATGCCGGATACAAAATGTACAAATGTAATTTGAAGCAAATAAAAAGTCCCACTGTAACTGACATTAATAGTCCAAATGTATTAACCTAAGGATTTTACCAATTTTAGTTAGTTTAATTACACATGCTGTAATCATTTTTTTAAATCCTCCCAATTATACTTAAGAGCTTTCAACTATCAAAGCCTAGTATTGTGAAGATACTCACAGAGCACATGATATGATTTTTTTAAAGCATGAAACAAATACAGTGGTCAGTTGATAAGACCATGATGATGCGCCTAGACATGATATTGGTGCACACTGCACCAAAGAATACATTACAAAACTTGACTCACGCATCTCATTACAAAGAGAGTGCAGCAAAGGTAAATCTGTACAAAGGTTATGTAAAAATGCATAATTAACTGCAAAAAAATCAAAATTGCTGCCAAATAAACTGAATCACCCTGTCTGGTAACAGTCCATTTTCACAATAAAGATTTTACTGCATTTCAGAATATATGAAAAAATTTACTTCAGGTAGCATTACATAAATAGGGCACCAACCTGGTGCAAACAACTCATAGACTCATTCATCTGAACATATGGCTTCACCAGTCGTGTTACTTTTATAACAATCATAATCTGGATAGTTCAAATTATCAACACTAAGTAAATATTTTTTCAGGTGTAATTAACATAAAATTTCTAGTAACTCATTGTTTAGGCGTGATTTCTCAATGTGGGATGTCACATTGGGGACATAATTTCAGTCTTTGTCAAAGAATGTTATTTGTAATTGATAGGTTACAGATAGGACCGCAAACTTTTAGAACAACTAACTGCATAAGTTTTGCACCATATCCAAGTCAAATAGGTGCATAACCAGTTCCTATAATTGCACAGAAAACTTACATGGGTCTGTTACATCCCTATGTTGCTGGAAACAACCTCAACCATAGTTTGTGAATCAAATTTATGAATTCCAAATATATTGGTTGATATTTGTCACTATTCACAAATCAGTTTAATATATTTCAGATACCTCAGTCATTTGACATAATTGGAAAGTTCTGTTTTTAAATACAACACAAAATTACATGTGAATAGCCCCTTTCATGTCAGGAGGACATCCCAGGGTGCTGTCCAGTCGGGGATTTGGACCTGAGCATGGAGGGGGTGGGGGGGGGTTTGGGATCAGGGAGGGTTGACGGCAGGGAAGCTGGGAGGGTCCTGTAGCTCAGTGGTTACAGCACTCATTTTGCAAGCGAGACACCTGGGTTCAATTTCAGGCAGGCCGAAACCTTGGGCAAGTTTCCTTACTCCACACACCTAATAATAATCCCTCCAAAACAAAACAATAATAAATTGGCTTCAATCCACGACTCTTTGTGGGACACTGCTGTGCGCAATTGGCTGCCATGTTTCACCCACAAATATATGGTCAATTCACTTTACAGTCTATTCTGTGAAGCGCTTTGTGATGTCGAGAAGATGTGAAAAGCGCTATATCAGATGCAAGGATTATTATTATTGTTATATTATAGGGTGGCTGAAGGCACGGTCGAAGTGGAGGGCCTTGAGGGGGACCTTGAAGGAGGCAAGGGAGCCGAAGGAAATGTGGGATGGAGTTCTAAAGGGTGGGGGGCAGAGAGATTGAAGGCCCGACCACAAATGGTGGGGTGGGCCGGCCAGGGGATGTGGAGTTGGCTGGAGCCTGCTGAGCGGGGGAGCGGACAGGCTGACTCACTGGGTCTGCTCAATCACACAAAGATATCATATCTAAAATTGTAAGCTTGAACTGACCTTAGACAATCTGGTATGTTTGTATTTGAGTACTCAATTTTCAGATGCTCTGCTTTGAGCTGTGACTATTAAGGATTTGATATTGCTTTTGTCTTTTCTGTTTCCCACAAATATATCACCCACCAATACAGCCACTGCTCTTTACTCCCAGCAAAAATCCTGCAAAGCTCTTTGTAACATTTTGATGAGGTGGTGATGCATAATATCAAATGCACTGGAGTATTAGTATAGACTGTGCGAACGATATGAATTGGAAATTATGTTCAATTTCAAGAATGGTTTTGTGTGTGCAAAATGTACACTTTTACATCCCGAAAGATTTCAATAGGACATAGTCATAACAGGGAAACTCGAGACCTTATTTCACTTAATCGCTGAAAAAAATATTTACTTAGTATTAATAATTGGAAACATTACAGGTTATGATTATTTTCTATGAAGTATTACAAATATTCTTTCTTGCAACTGAAACTATATAAAGGAAAATATAAGGAAACAATTCAGGACATGAGCACATTGGTAGAAAGAAAGTACCTGTACGGTATATATTTTGAATAAGTCTTAACTTCTTGCAACCATTTGCTTCCAGACTTAGGAATTATTCATTTGTACAGAGAAAGGGTCTATATTTATTGTATTTATGTAGCATTTTATAGTGTTCAGCATTTGGCAAAGTGTTGAATTCAGTCTTAAATTTTAAAAAATTTCTCTGAATTTCCACCATAAAAACAGAAAAATGCAAAAATATCAGGTGGTCATTTTAAAAGTATTGTGCATACAAATGCAGGGGGAAAGGGGGAACAGAGGGAGGATAATATGATCAGTCTATTTTAAAATAATCAGCAGAAAAGATCATCAATTCAACCTAATGCAGGTAGCTTTTTTCAAAACAATCAAGTAAAGTGCACCCTTCACAGTACACATCAGGTGTTGCATAAAAGTTTTTCTTTTGATGATTTCACAAGTTTACACGTGAAAGCTTTAGTAGCTGTGCTTTATCACTGTGCAGACTCTTGGAAGCCGATTATTGGGGCACAGACTTGTTCATGGTAACGGAGCTTTCAGAAGAGAAACATTTATGTAATTGAGACTGGGTTTAAATTCAAATCCAAATTACAGGGGCTATACGGCAGCACCACCTCATCTACAAAGGTATCATTTTTTGATCAATTGTCTTATTTTAGTGGAAGTGGATGTGCATTGTGAGTTGTACATTTACCTGGCAGCCTTGAGGCCTGAAATTACACCTGATCTTAGTCTGCAAGTCTAATTGAAATTTCAGGCCTCAGATATGTGCAACATGTTAGGAAATATTCTAATTGGTATTGTGTTTCCAAGAAACACGTACTATTGGTCTTTGATTTTTTTTATTATATCAGGAATACAAGAGCATAGGAAAAAGGTGTTGGCTATTTGGCCACACTGCATATTTGTAGGCAAAAGTTCCCTGGTAATTCTTACCTCTTCAGAACTTACTGCTACTTAATGTTTGTTTATCAATAAATTTACAAAACAATATTAAAAACCCTTGTGTTAATAAATGTTAATACATGTTAATAAATAAATGTTAATAAACGGACATAACTGTCAACAACAACTTGCATCCTTCATGTTGAGTAGTGTCTTAAATGCTGAATAATGGCATAGTTTGACAAGAAGGTAAGACTTAAAAAACATACATTCTAAGTATTTTTAATAAAGTTCCAAGAATAGACTAAACTTCACAGATGCATTGTATCTTTCCCAAACTGCTTGGGCTTTATCTTGCACTTCACAAAAAAAACCTACATACAATGAAAAATGGAAGTGGAGGAAACAAAGACTGCAATCCTGTTTATTTCAGCTCTTAAATGTTTCTACAATTTATTAAGTATGAACAGTGTATATGCCTTAATCCACATTCCAGGTCATTGTGTCATGTTTTCAGTTGAAACATGTGCCACTACGAACAGCTGACAGCCTTTTTACTGCAACGCAGCTAATCATTCTGGCAGACAACAGCTGGGAACTTGTAGTGAAGCTTCGTCAGCATCACACATTAGATCATTACCCTTTCACCAGCCTATTATGTCTATGTAAAGCCTCGATTACAACGCTAAATTCTGCTTGTTGGGAAATGGTGTTTGAATCTTACTTTTCTTCCATTGATGATAATTTCAATGCCCTATTGTTAAGATATTTATTTAGCCTTAATAGTTTTTACATGGATCCTATTCATTGAATCCTGTACAGATATGAAATGTGCTTCATCATACAATGGAGAAGCATGAACAATACAAAAAAGACATAGAATATTCACACAATACACTTAATAAGCAAAGTGGTAAAACTGTTTTAGAAACTGCTTTTTTTAACTATTTGAA